TTTTCCTCTTCTTACTTCACTCAATGCACCTCCATAGATTCTACAAGTACATTCATAATGGAGTATTCGATAGGTCTCTCAAACTAGAACAATTCTCTAAGTGATACAATAAAGTGTTTCAGCATTTTGAATATACCAACTTGTCAGATGCTATTTGAACTTGCCTGCTTATTTTTGATGCAATTGCAAAATAATATTTTTCCCTAGCTTTATACAGCTTATTAAATTCTAATTGCTTATAAAGTTTTTTATATTTTAGAGCAAGCAGATGTGTGTATAATATGTATTACAATGTACATATGTTTGCACATACAAACACTTGATGTTTTAAAACATATTTATAAGCTGCATACAGAAATATGCAGCTATTTAAAATAAGAACTATTATTCATACGTTTAAACAAGTAAGGCTGGACAAAAGAATAAATACAAACCTTGGGATCTGCCTTGCTCTTGATTGAATCACCCTAAATATTATTTGAGTAACTTGTTACTAAGTTCAAATGAATAATGGAAGTTCTAAAACAAATAGTGTATTTCAGTATAAAGATAAGTATAGTGTGAGTTCAATATAATGTTATTTAGTAACAAGATTAATCTCCCTTAGAGGAAGAATATTTTATTGCCAATTCCCAGTGTCCAAAGAGCTTGTGTTACTAATGAATGTTTCTAATAATGTTTCTAGAATGTATATGTGTATGTACATATCCACCTTTTTACCTACTTATCTACCTAGTTAGCAAATAAATTAATTGGCTACCATCTTGCCCAGGATAGTATACTGGCAGGCAGGAATCAAAAGAAATAGTGCAGTTAGAATAATATAAACAGCTCTTGGAACAATGGAGCATCCCTAAAGAGCAACTGTCATCAATGCACACTTTCATTAATAAATTGCTCACTGATGATGACATCAATGACAATGAAAATATGCAATCACTATTAATGTTTACACATTGTTCCCCTTGCACTTCATGCTTGAATGCTTTACCCCCACAGTTACATACTATCATATGGCTTCTTTCTTTCTTTCTTTCTTTCTTTCTTTCTTTCTTTCTTTCTTTCTTTCTTTCTTTCTTTCTTTCTTTCTTTCTTTCTTTCTTTCTACCTACCTATCTACCTACCTACCTACCTACCTACCTAACTATGGAGGTTCAATTCTGTAAAATATCAAGTATCCCTTAAAGACATTTTAGTGGTTTCATCAACAACCTCCCAAAATCAAAGAAGAAAATAGAATTCCCAGGATGCTAGACTGGCTCTACTTATAGAAACTGAAAGGAAGCCATAACAGCAGCAGCAATCACAGTAAGAAAACAAGTAAAGCAACACAAAGGGAGCAGTAAGAATCTGTTTTAATGCCATGATTCTGATGGTGTTTCAAACATATTGTTATTTGTGCAGCTAAGAAAGTATATGTATGATTATATAAAATGGACATAAAAGTAGATGAAGTTTGCCCACATGTAAACTGAACATATAATAATTAACATATCTTTGCATCTCATATGGGTTATGGAAAAAAATGCTTGCGAAATCAAGTTATATATATATTTTAAAAAAACTAAGATGCATCTATTATGAGCTCTGTTCAGAAATAAAAATAATCAAGTCAAACAAAATTCATAACTGCGTGACTATATTTAACAATCCCCAGAGCCTAAATACAATCTCAAATGTTCAAACCAATTTCTAATTCAGCTTACCTCATATTTTTATATATACATATGCTGAAAAGTTGTTCCATGGTTGACAAATTTGATTTGTTTAATTTATTAACAACATCCTAAAGTTTTGGATCCTGTTGCCAAAGCATACCATATAAGTATAAATATTTGTGTCAGGAAGAAAATAACTACTGATTGGTGCAACATAGACTTATGTTTCATCATATTTATTTTATTTCTCTATAACTAGGGTCAATGTGAACTCCACTGTTATTTCAAAGTGCTTTCAGGAGCTTATATGCCCATTAACTTCAGTTGATGTTTCACCATTGATTTCACCCTAAAATAAAATCTTGAATATTCTCTGATTGTCAAAATAATTTACAATATTTTATCCTCCCTTTTATCCTGCCAGTAGCACAATAATTCAAGTAGGATCATATCTTCTAACTATTGCCAAGGGACTATTTCTAACGAAACTCTCATGTTTGAATTGTTAATACCAAAGATAGTAAAGGCTTAATTTTTAAAAATAAAAATAGGCTCTGGTTTCTTTAACTCAACATCTGAGTAACAGTTACTACAATTATTCTTGCCAGTTAAATATATCCAATTTATCTTCTACTTGATTTTCATCATATAGAAAAAAATGATTAAAATCTTTAACATAATTTTAATTAAATCAGTAAATTATTGAGAAAGATCAAAAGAAAAAGCTGTACGTGAAATTTTTATTGTACATAGAACAGTTCTAAACATTATTTTTAGAGATAAACGTTCCTTGGATCAATAGGCTTATTCTAGATAACTTGGGATCAGCCAATAAAAACTTGCTAGTAAGAAATGAGTTTCTTTTTAAAGGATTGCTTCTATGGTATTCTACTATTCCAAGACTAACAAGCTTTTCCCTTTTCAACACCCCCAGGCAAAATTAGAAAATGAGTACCCATAACAGTACTTTCTTTATATGATAGAAACCCTATTATGCAAGCACCAGTTTTCTATGTTCTTTGTAACACTGTTAAGTCACTTTTATAGCCCCAGGTAACTCTGCCACACTAAACAGCACACCCATTAATCCAAACTTCCAATTATGAAAATCTTTTGAATGATCTCCCTGTGGCTATTTGAATACACGAAGTTGTCCTGTACTTGTTTTGATGAGGTGAGAGTAGGGGAGATTTCTATTCTCTCAATATTTTCACAGATTCTTTGTGAAAGTGAGCAAAACAATCACATTAATGTATATGAAAGGATTATTATTCACTAGAATCCGCAGTATGAAACTTTGGCACTTATTATACCTGGGAGCAAAAGAACAGAGGAGTTATTAAATTATTATGTGGTAAAGACAACATAGACATTAAAATTTTACAACACTATTTCGTTAGAATCTTATATATGATGAATTTAAAAACAGAAGTTAGGTTGCTTCCCAAAGATGAGAATAAAACCCTCTTCAAAATACACTTTTAAATTCCAATTGTCAAATCAATTCCCTTATTACAATTGTTCTAACAATTAATGGGTACGGGACTACATTGATGATGTTAGGGAAAACTCAAGATCATAATTAAAATTTATTAGATCTGGGCTGCACTTCCTAAACTCATTTACCACTAATTAAACTCTGTTGAATCTAGTGAGACTTACCTTTGAGTTGACACAATGAGGACCATAGTGTTAAAATGCTTTTCTTTTTTAGAAAAGACAAGTATATGGCATTATATCTTGGTTTAGCAATTTAAAAAAGATAATAAATGAAAATATAAGAATTGAAGCTTAAATTTCATTTAGCAATATGGATTCCTATTAAACAATACAAAACTCATTATCAAATCAATATCAACTTAACCAGTGTGCCCAAGAGAAATAGCAAAAGGGTCATTCCGAGAAACTCAAACAATTTTCCTGCTGGAAGAGAAAGATTTTAATTACAGATATTATTAACCAGAACTGCCACTAATACTGTATTCTGTTATTCTTTTGTTTATCACAAATAAGTATAATTACCTTCAAATTATTAATTTTATCAGCATTATTAGAATAAGATATGTTATATTGATTTAAATATATATTTAAAAATACCTAAAAAGTTTTCACCAAATGAATTGAACTAGTTTAATTGTTCATTGTTATTTATATATAGTTTCAGTATTAGTTTCCGTTTAGATAGCTTCATTTCGCTAGAAATTCTTTTCCTTGTCTTTTCCCCTCATAAGCTTTTCTCTGAATATTATATATATTTTTCTTCCTATACTTAAAATTAAAGTTAAGGGTTCTTCTTCTGAAACAGTAATAATTGGCATTTATTTGGACATATTTACTGTAACTGAAAATGTCTTTGGATAACTAACTTATACTAATATAGTTAGTACAAGTATAAAATATGAATTGAGAAAATAAAAAATAGAGGGAGAAAGAGGGATATTTAAAGATTTTTTAAATGTATGCTTTTATATACTAGGATATGGAAATATGTAAATTTTTCAGACAACACTATGTAAAAAAATACATGTAAATGACACAAAAAGTTTTAAAAATATTTCATTATCTGAATGCACAATTCCCTGTTTAAAGATGTGTTTTAGCATTTATATATCAAAGAAGTTTCATAGCCATTGCTGAGTAATACATGGTTTGTTTAATTACATAGCAATGCAGACAATAGAAGATATAGACTATTATAATAGGTGTTTCTCAGAAAGTTTCTGAAAAATTAAAGTTCTGTCTTAAATTGTTTATAATTTACTTCAGAAGATTTATTTATTTTCACACCTTCAATCTATTAAGTGCTACTTTCCCAGAATAAAACAGGCTTGCTTTGTTCTAGTTTCTACAAATGTATCAACATTGTATTCTGATTTATCTGAATAATGGAGAAACTGACATCTCTACAGGTCAAAGTTCATTTTCCTATCAGACCTTCAAGAATTTAATGATTCAAAAAGAGATGTTTTCAAATAACTGGATGATCATGCCTAATAAATAATAAATATTGTTATTTATTTACTGTGCAATGACAAATACTACGTATTAATCTTATTTTTTCCAGAGATATTTCAATTGGCAATTGCATATTTTAATGTTTCTAATTAAAGACATATTTACAGCAAACTACAAAAATAGACAAGATGAATAACCAGCAATAAAAAGCTGTTACAGTCTATCGGGGATTATTAATGGAAGAACACCCAATAAGGTATTAAAGAACGATATTTACCTCAGCTATAAATAAATAAAAGCAGCATTCCCTCACATGTGGGATAATAAATAACATTTAAGTATCCAACAAAAACAAAGAACTGATGGAATGGAGAAAGTCACTTTTACCTGATAAGTGGCAGTAGCATCCGAGCTGGGATCAGAGCCTAGGCTTATCAACTTCTCCTTTAGTTTGTGATGAGAGCCATGGCGGAGGCAGTAGATCACTCCAGAAGTCATAAGGACTCCCAAAATGCAAGCAATGGAGAGGAGTGTCAGTATGATAAATTTGGTGGTATCTTTCTCTTCCTGAGCATGGTGAGGCAAAAGTTCCAGCTTGTTTTTCTACATCAATATAAAAAAAGGAAGGGGAGGGAGACTTTATTTATTCATTGTCCACTTTTATCATTTTTAATCCTGCTAGAGAGACAATTCTTAATTGAATGTAGCTGTTATTTTTATTAAACAGATAAATTTGTAGTGTTTGCAATTATTTTTGTCAAAACAGATCTAAATTCTTTGGAATTGATTTTTATGAGATCCTTCCACGCATTCCATATTTACATACATACTACACACACACATACACATGCACACATACAAGTAAGTTGAGTAAATTTTGTTTTCTACTTATATATTTTGAAAAACACTAAATGGAGGCATTCTAAAACAAGAATCATTAAGTTTGGAGGTTGCAAATCCTTAAACAGCACAAAAGCAAAATAAAAAGTACTAAAATAAATGTAAATAGTCAAATTAACTGCCCCAAATAACTACCTTTTCTGCCTTTTAAATTAAAAAGATAACATCATTTTGATAACACTCACTGCATTGTTTATACCTTTAGAAAAAAAACAATTCAACTGTTGGATTGTGCAAAATTGGTTTTAGAAAGGACATATTCCGACAATAAGCTTCATCTATCTTATAGTCAGCTTTTCTCATGATACTTTTTATACAAATGGGAAGTGGATTTCTTCTGTTTTACTTATCATTCCAAATATCTGTTCAAATAATTTCTCCAAAAAAATTCTATTTGTTATTTTTCTTTATGGAGAATAATTTTCACATGGGAAAGCAAAATCCATCTCTTTCTTTTCCACCTTATTGTTCACAGAATGAAATAAAGTTTAGTCTTTCTCTTTTCTAAGGAAGAGGAGGAAAGAGAAACGTTTCAAACGTAATTCAATGTTGCCTTTTAAATTATGCGCGAGTCTCTATGTGCGCGCGGAGCAACAAAAAGGAAGAAATACAAAGTGATGCATTTTGTGCTTCACTCGCACAAAAGTTGTCCAATAATTTCCCCTCATTAGCTTCATTATAAGCTATATTAGCAACAATTAAAATCGCAACCTGACTATGAAAAGCCAGACACGGAAGATTGCAGGCGCGCTCATTTGGCCAGCGCTTCACATTTACCAGGGAAATGAATGGAAAAGCCGGCTCCTGCTTCAGCTCCAGCCGCTTTAAGATGCGAACAATTAGCCAAGTCCTCTTCACCGCCTCATTTCGTGGACTAACCACACGGATCTTTCCTCCCTCACTGCCAGGCCCGGCCTATTCATTATCACGCCTATCTTTCAGTAATTTTCTGCTCTGCATTCAGCTAGTCTACGTTTAATTTCCTCCCGGAGAGCCACGTCCACAAGCGGCACTTATATTAAGCCTCGGGCGGGCTTTTTTTTTTTTTTTTAATTTTTCACTTGCTTTCTCTTTCTCCCTTTTATTTCCTTCTTTTTTTCTCCCGCCCCTATCTTAGGGAAGCCGCCGAAGTAATTGGAACCGCGTCTTGGTGGGCTTGCCATTAATTAGCCTTCTTCTTAGCCGCTAGTGACCCCGACTTAAAAGAAAGGAAGGCAGAAGCAGGTCCGACCGACTCTTCTGCGTCTTCTTGCGAAGAGCGAGGCTCGCCGGCGAGGAGGCAGCACTAGAGGCCAGAGGCGCGCGCTCTCGCCCGGCTTCTCCGGGAGAGGCGGCCATCGCTAGCCGCTCGCGCCACCTTCACTGTCAAGCTAAATGAAGCCGAACCTAAACTCCTCTCCTGCCGCCGCTCCAAAACGCTAGAGCAACCGGGAAGGACGTGCGTGCGCTTCTCTCCTCCTCCTCCCGCCCACTCGCCAACGGGAGGAGTGTCTTTCCAAATCTCCACCTGTCTCGTCCCTTTCTCCAGGCGCGGAAAGGAGCGGGATAGGGACCCAGAGCCGCCAAATCAGAACCGCCTCTCAAGAACAGGCGCTGGGCCGGGTGTTCTTAGGACCACTTTCATCCCGACGCCGAACTCCCTTTCGGTCGTGATTGCCGGGAAGAGAGCGGTTAAAGGAAATATCTTCATTGCGGGGGTGTTGGGAAAGGGGAGGGTGTGGATACCTAGCCTCCGTTTGGCAGAGAAGGAAGTTAAATTCCATCAGCCACTTCCCAGAACTGGAAGCGCCTCAACTGAAATAGGCTTACTTCGAAAACACAGCCGGAAGCAACTCGGTTGGGAAGAGTCCCTCTCGACCATGACGGGCTCTGCCTCCAATGAAGGCAGAAAACGACCTGTCCCAAGATCCCATGGACAACTTTGGTTCAGCCAGTCGAATTCCACGCCCGTTCCCTCTCTCCGCAAAGCGAAGTAATTGCAAAGAGGCACTGCCGAGCCGAGAACAGGGCTTCAGAGGATCCAATTCCTAATAAACGCATTATGTGCAGAGAAATAAATGCATGCTACAAACTGCGAATCGCGTTTTCCTAGGAAACCCCGGCCGGCTGTGCAGCCGGTTGAGGAAGGAAAGGAGCAAGGTATACGGTTGCCCAAAAGTTCCTTCCCTGCCCAGCAAGGTGGCAGAGTCAGTGTCCGTAGCAGTAACAAAGGAGGAAAGCCCAGCAAGTGGAGAAGCAGTCACGGTCCCGCTTTGAAAGCAGGCTGCAAAGAAGCTCTCTGGCTAAGCCTCCGGTGCGGGCGCGTTTTCTAATAACGCTTGCAGTCTGCGCAGACTGCCATTCCGCTGCGAGGCAACTTTTCTTTTCCAACTGAAGCCAAGAAGGCTTCCGAGGCCGCTCTCCTCAAACTGGGCTGGGCGAGTATCCGAGAGAGGCGCGCTCTCTGGGTGCCCATTTCCCAGTGCCATCCAACGGCTCTCGAAGAAAAGGGTCTTTTCTTCAACTTCTCAAAGCTCTTCAAGCCAAATTCTCCCCCTCGCCCGGCGTTTGCTTTTCTTGGAAAGAGAGGTCCACTGTTGTGGGTCAGCCTCCTCCTCCCGTAGCATTGCTTTCTGGAGACAAGCAAGTCCTTGGGACTGCAGCCTAAAGACCTGGCCTTAGCTTTACCGTTAGCATTTCGCTGAATGGCCCCCAACCTTCTGGAAGTCGCCATTTCCGTTTAAACAGGAGCGTCCAAAAATTGGCCAGATTCGCCCCCTTTCTATCTTTCAGGCGGGGCGGTGCTCGCAACGGATCCTTCCACTTTCCGGAGCGGCTGGACCAACTGCTTCGAAAGCATCCCAACGCTTTCCCGGCAGCAGTGCTGTGCAGCCACAGCAAAGTGAAGGGAAAAGCCTTCCTATTCTTCTCCAGAATTTGATGTGTGGCCGGGTCTGTGGTAGATTTAGCTCTCATCAGCACCTACTGCAGCGCAATTCGATATGTGAATCCCAGCTCTGAAAACAAGCCATCCTTGATATTCTACCGAGCCCGCCTCCCTTAAGTGCTGTTCAACAGTTGATATCTTAGATGGGGAGGAACTACGCGCGCCACTCCTATTTTGTCTCCATACTACCCTTTCTTTTTCTGTAGCGCGCACCAACACACCAATGGCGGTTGCTAAGGGAACTTTACGTTTGCATCTGTACCTCTCTTGAGGGTCTCTAAGATTCGGATCCTAAGCTCACACATCTTGGGGAATGTGGATACTCACTGGCTCTACAAGACAGGCTCCTCAGCAGCTGGGTGTAAGATTACCTTGTAATTAGTTTTTCTTACTACTGGCCTTTTTAAGATTTCACACCAAGCACATACTGGTTAGTGGAAACCCACCGAGTGCCACAACCCTTTGTAACTAAGATGGCCTGTGCCTGCAAATCAAAGAGTTTCTAAGGACAGTTTCTAAGCAGTGTTACTCAGAAATAAGTTATTTATACAGAATCAGATAAAACACCTTGCCCAAGAAAGCTCAGGAAATTGTTTTTTTTTTTAATTCCCACTCATGTGTATTTAGAATTGCAAGTTAAACATGCCTAGAATCAGACTGAGATTGATACATTCAGGAGATGCTATCTTACTTCACTGGTAATAATCCATAAAATGTTGAGAGGGAATCTATGTGTGTGTGGGTAAATAGGATTATTTGAAATACTATGTCTTCAGTGGGAATATTCAAATAAATAATATACCTTCAAGGAAGAACTGATTTAGTTTTAAATTCACACGTGATGGTCCCTCTCCCAGCTTCAATTTCCTATCTGTATTTTGCGAGGTGTTACAGGTGATGGAAGTGCAGATTCTCCACACTTATGCATAAACGAATGTCTGAGAAAATTCTAAGTATTCTTAAATTTGAAGCTGGATGGGTTCTGCATTCACCTGAATGCAGGATAGATTTTGGCTTGAAGAACAATATCCCCTCTACGAGAAATGTTTAGGCTTCGAGATTCTAATTAGGAATATCTTCATACTGATAGCAAGTTATTAAGCAGGTACGGTGAAGAAAGAACACCCTTTTTTTATCTTCAGCAGCACTTTTTAAAACATACATATTCAAGTTTGCTACAGATTTAAGTTTGTTTTGTGATGGTCATTTGCATAACAAAATCCACCCCTCCAAATCCTTTGACCTGAATGGGTTTTCAGGCTGCTTTACAAATTGGTTCTTGTTGAAAATGAAGATACTGGGTGCTATTTTAAACAGGCCCAGAGTGTTAAGCTCATCTCCTATGCCAAACCCAGTATATTACTTCAAAAAGAGAGAGGTGGAAGTGCTCTGCCTCACTTTTGCCTTTCAAATAAAAGCATTTTCCCTTCAAATTAATCAGCACTTTGAAGCAGCATCAGTGATGAAGTAACTGGGTTGAGGACAACTATTTAAGTTGCACACAAAGAAAAGAAATTACCCTATTTTTTATTTGAAAGTGGCAGAAATCTATTCAGGACTGAAATCTGGATGCAGATCAAATAAACATCTTTGTCAGAAAGGTCACCACAATTAAAAAAAAAACAGAAAATAAGTGTAATGTGCACAAAAGGATTTTCTATCATACTATCACCTACTTGTTCTATTTCTCTTGTGTATTTTTGTTTTTTTCAGCAGTTTGGTTATTCTGAGATAGAATGATAAAAAGGCTAACTATAAAAGAAAGTTTATAAAAAGC